TTCCAGATTCTGGAAGCGGTTTCACGACGAGATGGGGACTCGTCTCCATTTCAGCACCGCTTTCCACCCTCAGACGGACGGGCAGAGCGAGAAGACGATCCAGACTCTCGAGGACATGCTCCGGGCATGTGTTCTAGACTTCGGTGGCAGTTGGGATACGTATCTTCCGTTAGCGGAATTTTCGTATAACAACAGTTACCATGCGGGTATTGACCGCCCTCCTTTCGAGATGCTCTACGGGAGGAAGTGCAGGACCCCGATTTGTTGGGGCGAGGTCGGTCAGCGTGTCATTGGGAGCACCGAAGTGGTGCTCAAGATGACAGAGTTGATCCAGCAGGTTTGTAGTAGACTGCAGACCGCGCAGAGTCGGCAGAAGAGTTACACCGACAGGAGGCGTTCAGACTTGGAGTTCCAGGTGGGTGACATGGTCCTCCTGAAGGTATCACCCTGGAAGGGTGTCATCAGATTCTGAAAGAGGGGCAAGCTGGGCCCCAGGTTCATTGGTCCTTTTAGGGTTTTGGCCCGGGTGGGTCGGGTCGCCTATCGATTGGATCTTCCAGCAGAGCTTAGCCAGATCCACAACATGTTCCATGTTTCTCAGTTGAGGAAGTGTTTGGTGGACGAGTCAGCAGTAGTACCCATGGAGGATATTCAGGTTGATAGCAGCCTGAATTATGTCGAGAAACCAGTTGCGATCTTGGATCGGAAGGTGAGGACCTTGAGGAACAAGGTGGTTCAGTTAGTAAAGGTGCAGTGGCAGCACCGGAAGGGTTCAGACTGGACATGGGAGTCCGAGGAGGAGATGCGGGAGCATTACCCAGAGTTGTTTTCAGATACAGCAGCAACAGACTTCGAGGAGGAAGTCTGAGACAAGTGGGGGTGAGTTGTAACGCCCCAATTCTGGTATGTTATTTAAATATTTATTTTTCAAGTTTTTAAGAGGGACTCGACGAGTCAGTAGCCCGACTCGTCGAGTAGAGACGGGATTTTGAGCACGTTTAAGTTGGCTACTCGACGAGTCCATATTCTGGACTCGGCGAGTCCGCCAGTCTGGAAGAAGCCCTAATTTCAAGGGTTTGCACCCTATTTAATCAACTTTTGGGACCTCAAGTCAGCCCCCATCACCCCCAGAGTATCCTTCTCGAAACCCTAGCACTCTCTTAGCATTTTGTGTGTTTTTGGTGTGATTCTTGAAGATCTTAAGAGAAGAAGGAAGGTAGATCAAGAGGAGAAGAAGGAGATCCAAGATCTTTGTGGCATTTCAGAGTATAGTAAGGTATAACTCACCCCTTTTCTGTTTCTATGCTTAAATCCCCATTAGAACACCATTAAAGCTATTCTTGAACCATTTCTTGGCTTGGTAGTAGCATAGAGGACACATTGAGATGAATAGCCTTCAGATCTAGCTATGATTGAGTTCCAGAAGCCTAGATCTAATACCTTTATGAAGCCATATTGCATGAAAGCCCTAGATCTACTCTTACGTGTAAACAAGCCCTAAGAACCCAGATCTACGAATGGAATGAACTGGATTCAAGCAGAATCGAGTTTATAGTGATTGCATGCATACGACTCGGCGAATCGTTCTTCAGACTCGGCGAGTCGAGTCGCGAGTCCCCTGTTTTTCCCTTTTCGAGTTATGCCGAGTGGAACCAGTGAGTTTTAGGTGGACTCAGTGAGTCGAGGATCGGACTCATTCATGGAGGGACTCGGCGAGTCAATGCCCTGACTCGGCGAGTCTAAGGCAATCTTTATACCTCAAGAACAGAACTCGACGAGTTGTTCATATAACTCGGCGAGTCAGATGAAGATTTACTGAGTATTAGTATCGAAGAGGAACTCGTCGAGTCTATGCCAAACTCGACGAGTAGTAGCGGGCAGGATTGAGAAATGAGAGTAGGGACTCGACGAGTTGGCGGCCCAACTCGACGAGTCGGGTCAACTGAATGTTGACTTTGACCAGGAGGTTGACTTTGACCAGGGGTAAAATAGTCATGTTACCCTCAGTATAGTTATCAGTATTTGATTGAGTGTATTTATGGGAAATTGTAGCCGGGGAGATACCGGAGCAGCAGCAGACAGTTTCCCCAGCAGTTGGTTCAGCAGCCAGATTACGAGGTGAGTTTCCTTCCAGTAGGAACGGGTCTACGGCCACAATGCCGGCCCATTTAGTTAGCAGTAGTTTCCAGACTTCGGTCTGATGCAGTAGTTCAGTGTGTTTGAGGTCTTTGTGATTCAAGCATGGTCTCGTGTTATATGTTCCGGACTTCGGTCCGATGCAGTATGCAGTATATGTGTTTATGCCAGTAGTTGTGATTATGCTATGCTTTGTTCAGTTAGTTTCCGGACTTTGGTCCGATGCAGTTTCCGGACTTCGGTCCGATGCAGAGGGCAAGGCCCTGGTTAGTTCCGGACTTTGGTCCGATGCAGTTTCCGGACTTCGGTCCGATGCAGAGGGCAAGGCCCTGGTTAGTTCCGGACTTCGGTCCAATGCAGTTTCCGGACTTCGGTCCGATGCAGAGGGCAAGGCCCTGGTTAGTTCCGGACTTCGGTCCGATGCAGTTTCCGGATTTCGGTCCGAAGCAGTGGGCAAGGCCCAGTAGTTGCTTATATGTTATTGTATGGTATGTGGTAGTTTGGGGGAGCTCACTAAGCTTTGTGCTTACAGTTTTCAGTTTTGGTTTCAGGCACTTCCGCAAGTAAAGGGAAGAGCTCGGGATGATGGCATGGCACACACCATAATTTCAGTTTATTCCTGCGAGTTTGTTCAGATATTTTGATATTGTTGATACAGTATTTGTTTTGACACAGCTACATGACTTTTGAGTTACTCAGTTATGATTTTTAGTATGTATGATATTTGATGAGATGGTTTTTAGTAAAATTTAAACAAAAATTTTTGGGTCGTATTTTTGGGATGTTCCACCAGTCAACAGATAAACAAAGATATAACAAATTACTACAGCATAACAATATCATATATACCAGGATACATAACCTAGTAGGCCGATATCGGTGCATTCGACCCACAACACAAGTACAGTGAGGAAAACTCACCACACAATCTGAAAGATAGTTAAGCAAAACATTGCTCTGAATACCAGCTCTACAGGTCACCTATGCATCAAATAGTGACCAAATCTCAAATCACAGTTCAAAATACCCTTAGGTCAAAATCCTGGTCAAAGTCAAGGTCAAAAGTCAAATTTTCATCTAGGTTGATTACACTCTGCGTACTCCCTCTACGACCAGTGTAGAGGGCCTTTTTTCATATTACAGGATTGAACCCTGGTACACATCGTACCTCCAGGTACGCCGAGCGTATCATACCTACACCCAAACTTTTTCATTAATCTCTCATTTGGTTAATCCAAATCACCAAACTTTTGATCCAGGTCCAAAACACCATTCTAAGTCATAAAGTTTCCACCTTTATGAAATTCCATGGTTAGAAAGCTCCAAGAGCCAAAACCTTAACTTATTAATCCTTTAAGACATCATAACCTTTGCATGGAAGGAAAAGGACCAAGATCCCATTTTTATCACTCTAGACACTCTAAAACATCCAAACGAACAGATCATTTGGTCTAGAGTAGCTTATACCCCAATGGACCAAGATTATGGGACCAAAAGCACGAAAATCCACATCTAGCAAGATCTAATGAGATAATCAACAAGTTAAGAACTTTATACATTCTATAGGTTGCTCAAGGGGTGCAAAAATCAGATCTATGAAGCTTGGAGTTCCTTCCTTTCTTTCCAATGGCTTCCTTCCTTCCACAATGGACACCAACACCAAAAATGAGCTCAGAATACCACAAATGGAGATTAGGTTTTAATATGGACGAAAATAGGGATGTAGGCTTGTGAATGAAGGGGTCTAAATGAGTTAATGATGCTTAAATAGGGTTCAAACCCTAAAATTTGGGGTTTGGGTTTTTGCTACGTACGCCCAACATACATAAGTGTACACCTAATGTACTTAACAAAAGGCACGTTTTCCTCTAAATGACCAAGGGACCGATTTTAGAACAAATTTCATATACAAGGGTCAAAAAAGGAAAATACTTGAACAATAGGTGTTACATGCTTCTTCTCCATTTATCGTTTCTTGTTCTACCCTCTCCATGGCTCCTCATACTTCTTCAAATGATAATTTGTATGTCTGAAAGATGGTAATGGTCATTATTAAGAAAATTCATGTGATAGTAATTTATCGGATAAAAATAGTTTAAAAAAACAATCGTGTGTCTTTAAAACACTTCTAGCAATGGTTTTCTTAAGTCAATGTGTAGGGTCTCAATAAATAATCATTTTGTTACTAAATAATTGAAAATACGCAGTGAAAAAAATTCATTTGACCGTTAAAGGAACAATAATCAATATCAAAAAACAGTTGTGTGTCTAGAAAGAGTTTATAGCCAGAGTTATTGGAAAAAATGCTCCATTACGACAATACTTTTCGTCGTGGTTTTCTTAAATCATTGTGTTTAAACTCTAAAAAACAATATTTTTGTGACTAAATATGTAACACCCAACTTTTAATACAAAGGACACCTAAAAATTTTCATTTATAAATCATAAATCATAGTAAATTCGATGTACATTCATATTAATAAATAAATATAAGAAGTACCAAAAAGATCATATTTACTACTGGCATGATGATCCGAGTCGGCGTTACTAACTTAGATATGGTATGACCTTTCACTTCATCACAGTTGAGATATTCTTGAATGGTAAAAAAAGTTAGAATTACTTCAATAATCTTGTTTTTCAATTAGAAGATAAAATCTTAAAATTGTAACATCCCAAAGATTCAAGACCAAAAATTTCATTTTAATTAAGTTATTGTATAAAACCAACGGTATAAAAACATTCATGATAATATCTCATGTCAAAACCAAAGTGTCAATAATCAAAATATATTATCATAAAACCATATCAGAGTGTAATCCCAAAGATCTCGTGTGCGGAAAACATAGTGTGATGCGCTGCGATCAAGCCAACTCCTTTCCTTTGAAAACGAGTACCTAAAACAAAACTGTAAATCATAAGCACGAAGCTTAGTGGGTTCCCCCATCATACCATATACCATACAGTAACATACATAGTCAATCATATCTGGGTGCCGGCCTCCCCTTCGGTCTATTTCAACCGGATAACTGCCTAGCATATCTGGGTGCTGGCCTCCCCTTCGGTCTCTTTCAACCGGATAACTGCCTAGCATATCTGGGTGCTGGCCTCCCCTTCGGTCCGTTTCAACCGGATAACGTGGACTATTTCACCCCCTACCACTACCACATAATAACATAGCATAACATACATAAATATATTGTCAGGCATATCTGGGTGCCCTACCTACCCCTTCGGTATCTTTCAACGGGTATCCGGGAGCTGACCTCCTCTTCGGTATCTTTCAACCGGTAACCAGTGACTATTTCACCCCCTACCACTACCACATAATAACGTAACATAACATACTGCTAGGCATACATGGGTTCTGACGACCCCTTCGGTATCTTTCAACTGGTATCCGGGGACTATTTCACCCCTACTACTACTAACATGTATCACAGAGCATCCCAGCACACAAACGTAACAGATAATGGCATACCAGATAATTATCACAAAGACAATCATCTAACAAACAACTCCTACTAGTGGGTCGGCATTGTGGCCTTAGACCAACTTCTATTGGAAGGTAACTCACCTCACACTGCTGAAGTCCCGCAAACACAACCCCAGCTGCTGGATGACAGATTCCCGAACTGTCAATATTGACTAAAATGTAAGTAAGTAAAGATAGCTTCGATCTTGACAACTATTGACTAAAATGTAAGATCTTCTCAATGCATCTTCAAGTTGTTCTAAAGGCTCACGTGTTTCTGGATACCTTTTTAGCTCACTGGTTTGGAGTTGTTGTCGAAAATTATGATATTTATATTCTAATTAATTTGGAAGTTAATTGTTATGATTGATAGGGTGGGTGGTGGACAAATAAGATGTCATCACTCATACAAAAGCAGCTAATGGAACAAGTCATGTTGCAGTTAGAATGAAGAACAATTGGAATTTAAAGTTGTATATGTATTAAATAGATTTTTTATTATTTTATGTTAAAATTAACATTTAATACAAAAGAAGCTTTGAAAATATATTAGCATATAGTTTATCGAGACTAAATCATTATCGGTAAATTGATATGATCACAGTCACACAACAATTCAGTATTAACAAAAAATGTCAAAAAAATAAATAAATAAATAAAAATAAAGTAAACATTATAGATGTCTTTATCCAAGGATACTAATTCTTCATTTATTATTTTCACGTAAAATAATAACTATAACTCAGTATAAATAATACTTTATATAAGATAATATTTTATTAAATAGCATACCACAGGTAAAGCTTTTGAAATATAAACAGTCATTTCATGTAATACACCCTTATCAAATTCTCTTGTCTACTTTTTGTTATGGTTTTATGTCTATTTAGGGTGTGCCTTGGAGCAATAAATAAATTTATTCTGACAGAAAAGTCATTTTTTCAAGTCAAGGCAACCCAATACAACAAACTTAAGAATAAGAGTAAAGTAGCACTACATACCTGGCTTGTTTTGCACGTGAAGCTTGAAAGAACTAATACTTCCTCAAAAGCAATTGATTTGTCAATCTTCCCATTCAAATATTCCCTCAAGCCTCTATCCAACCAAATGAACAGCTTAATTATCCACCACCTTCTTGATACTAAAAGAAAACATTATAAAACAATGGCCATTGATATTACATTGAGTTGAATAACAAGAATGTTAGGTGCTTGCATAATAGACATCTGTTTTCTTGTTGCTACCAACTTTTTACAACAAGTTTCTACCTCAGACCATCTGCATTAGTATAACAAATAATACCAAATTTTGCAATTCACAAGTTAAATAAGTCAAGAAAAAAGTTAGTTTCCCCCACCCAAAAGAAAAAAAAAAGCACCTAAATATGAATGTATTAGGGAACCTGCAATTCAGAGTATGTGAAATATTATTGGTTCCATCCTTACCCATCTTACCACCTCCATCTTTACACAACCTAAAAATGAAAGAAATTATTGTCCAGCCTCACTCGAACATTTCATCAAACACCTCAGTTGCACTTGATCAGTTCACCTTAAATTAAACTTAAAATTGATAGAAATCCCACCAACAAGTAGATAACAGATGAGGGAAGAAGTAAGTAAGGAGAAATCACTTATTTCTCTTGTTAGTGTGCGTCCTAATCTGTCGAGAAATACAAAGAAGAAAAAAATCAAATCGTAATTACCTTCGATTCTGGAACCAAAGCTTGATGATCAATGAAGTGGAACCAAATTCGAGTTCAATCATCTTCTCCATCTTCCTGGTTCCATGATTGGTTCCATACTTCTTACAAACCGATTCGGTTCCAAATCTGAAACCGATTTTCAAAGTCAGATACATCCATGACTCATTGCAAATCGATTTTAGATATGGTAAAATCTAACATACACGTTGCTGTTCAACTAAGGGAGAAGAGAAAAATTGATCATATCGGTATAGCAGTGATGCCTTCTTTCTTCGGTGTTTTAACTTGAGAGACGATGTTTTCATACAACCAAAGCACTGTAATCGGAACCCTAGCTCCCATTTGTCCCAAAGATCCATCATTCCACATTTCACAATGATAGCTCATGGAATTCGCATAGCTTCATTAGGCCAAACCATGGAAAAGAGAATGGGGGTTAGGAATGTAGAAACGAAAGAATAGGAGAATAAGGCGGGGTTTTCTAATTTTTGGGGATTTCATTTCCCCATTAATTTCCCCCTTACCTATTAAGGCCAGTTTTCTTGTAGTGTATATTTTTCACACATTAATTTAGTCACTTTTTTTCTATGCTAAGTCTTCAAAAAATACCATTATGATCAGCAATAATCCGTATTACCGGTTTCCTCTAAATTCATATTAAAATACTTACATGGAAACTAGACCTAATACCAAACGCGCAAACATATCTAGATGAGATAATAGTATATTAGGGTTCCAAAGAGAGTGTCATTACAACATCCAACAAACACCATCCCACATTGTAGTTTAATTGAAGGTTCAATTCGTCAAGTGTTACCAAAAAGTTCAGAGATTATCAAGTACGTTCTTGATCGTCATAGATGTTTCACTATAAAGGTATATGTGTACGTCTGTCTCTACTGTACTTTGATTCCCTTAAAGCTTGGAAAGGAGATGTTGACTTTTAATACATTTTCTTTTATCACAAATTAGACCATTTTTAACCGGTCATTATAGGATATTTCTTATTTTCTTTTTCTGTTTGTTTTTGGCTTTTGGTTAGTATGTTGTAATCTATACACTTTAAAAGGGAATAAATTCACATATAAACAAAATATAAATGACAGCTATGTCCACCACAATGAAGCAAAAAGGTGAGTGAGAACCAAATTGTCTGCATCTAGCAATGGTGGTTCTTAACATCTTAAAAACATTCTAAAAGTTCTATTGTTCATTATTAAAACAAAGATAGAAGCTTACACCTCTGTCACTTATTTGTGACATCAACATATTCATGGGGAAGTACCACATGTTTGTGGTAAAATTACTTGTTTTTCCAATTCTATCAGTTTTAGCATATCACGTGTATTGTAGAAAACCATATTTGCTTAGAGGTCTTCTGCATTACAAGAAACGCCCACTCACCTATTGAAAGTAAAAAGACAAGGATAGCCTTGACGTTTCGGATAACAAAACGGTTATTAATGTGAGGAGGTAATGGACTGGGACATTAGTGAAATAAAGTATGTGTCTTGTGAGAGGCTTCATAAGCAAAAAGGCATGTGTTGTCCTCCTAAAAAGAATCATAGCTACAAGATAATCCAACACAGGCCACAACAACAAAGGGAATAATGGAGTTGAAATTTCTTCCTTAAAAGTCCTCTAAATAATAGGCTATGATATTACAAACATTCCTCTAAATAATAAGCTCATATATTACAACCACTCTAACAGATATGCAAGGTCATGGGTGGTTTAGAACACATGAATGTATCCATGTTAGAGATTGCAAGTGATCTCCATGACTTGCAAACTATGTTGAATAAAAGATAATCAATAACTCTCGGTTTACTAGTACAAAAGTCATTTAATAGTGCGGTTAATTTCATTAATTAGTATGGTTACCAAACCGTATAAAAAACCATTGCTTTAAAAATTATCTTGATTTTTTTTTTTTTTTTGCGATTCCACCAAATACAATACAACACCATTAAAATAAAAGGCACCATTATATAAAAAACGCATCATTAATAACTAAACCCACCATTAAAAAAACGCATTATTAAACAAAGTCGCACTACTAAACAGAAACACAACATTATACAAAAAGCCAACAATTTCTAATTTAAATGTATAATATTTAATTTACCATTTAGTTACTATATCAATTTAAAATAAAAAAGAAGCTAATTCTATAGAAATGTTTGAATATCATTAATTGTTGAACGCTTCTTTCCGAGTTCATTTTTGGCTCTCGTTCACCTCGTTAACTAAATGCGGTATTATTTTTAAGACTGTATTTTCAAGTTCGTTAGCCGCAACAATCTTTTTGTTTCTCCAAATCTGCAACAAATAAACAAATTATATATACGTATACAAATATATTATTAAATTTTGATATCTTAAATATATACAAAGTACTTACTGTATCTTCAAAATTATGTTGAATGGTCTCAACAAACTCACGCATATGTTTTATCACCATATATCCACATTCCCAGTTTTTTCTTTGCTTGTTGCACTGCATTTAAATTCATAATTAATTATTTTAAACATCTTAAAATAAATTGATAAAAAAGAAATAGAAAACATACCTTTCCCATTATCCATTTAAATGTATTAGGGAAAATTTTATCAATTATAGATGGAAGGAGGTAGTTATCCTTTGTCTTTTCACCATTTAAGGAATCAAGAATATACGCGGATCCGCTATTCGGACAAAGGATAAAAAGCACCCAATGTTCACTACAATAATAGAAATTATAGAACAATTAAGCATGTATGTGTAATGTATATATGTATTGTATGTATTATGGAAAAAAAATATTACCTCTGTAAATATGGAGCAAGAAAATATGTTTTGTTTACATGAAACGAGCATATTTCTTTGATGTGCTCAATAACGGCCGTCTCTTTTAACCGGCAATCTAATTCTTTGATGCAGTCAGGATCAAAGAAAGCACATTTAGAATTGGGCGACCTAAAAAAATGTCTTATATATTTATATAAAGTTAGTAAATTTATTTATATCTGAAATGTTATTGTACCATATTAAAACTATAATACTTACATTGCAAACCAATGTAATATGCTAACATCGAGCCAACCCCTTAAGAATAGTTGTAACACCTCCGTTAATGGGATGCCAAGTTTAACAATGCCGGGATACATCCCTTGGGGTGAAAAAATATCGATGCCATGTCTATCCCCAAACAACTCTAATATTCGAAAAACATATGGTTGAATTTTAAAACTTTTTTTCTCTATTTTGGTCATGGCAAGTTCCACATCAGGATCAACAAATGTACTTGCTTCTAATTCATCGGAAGCATTTATATCAATTTGTTGTGGATTCGCAGATAACTAAAAATGATCATAAAACATTAGTACTTAGATATAATTATATACATACAATACACACACAAATATATATATATATATATATATATATATATATATATATATATATATATATATATATATATATATATAAACAAGTTTTTGAAGACTAACCATATCAACAAGACCGCCTTGAAAAGTTTCATTAGGATCCATTTGATGATAAGATATGTGCTTTTGTACTAGTGGTTGCATCATAACTATACAAAGCATATGATGGTTAAGATCCGACCAATGTTCCCCACCACCATTGTCACAAGTCTTGAATCTCTTCCTCTTCTTGCTAGATGAGGACGCATCATCATCATCATTATCATTATGATTTTGGTTTCTAGTCATACTCCTTGTTGTAGCCCTTCCTACACTTGCAATAGAAAATTAAATGTTTGCCATCTTACTAAATGCAAATTTTACAATAGGTACAACACTTGGAAACAAGAGACAAACATGCATGCATATATAGACGCTAACCTTTTCAATCGAATTTAATAAAATATTACAAGAAAAACCAGAAAACAAACACAAGAATGAAATGGGTATTGAAGTCACATGGTTAATATATAGTCTAGAGGTGATAAATGCTCTTAACAATATTAGTAGTTGGAAATTGTAGATCAGCCACATGGTGTGGTTTTGCGTTTGTGTTGTTCCCAGTTTAATAAAGGAAAGAAAAGAAGGGAAGGAGAATAAGGAGAGAAAAGAAAGGGAGGGGAACGGAAAGGAAAGATATAATGAATTTTCCTGCTCATGAGTTAGAAAGAAAAGAAAAGAAAATAAGCATTTTATATGTTCCCCAGGTGAAAAAAAAAGGAAAGAAAGTTACAAGTTTATAATTATACCCTTGATGTAATTTTATTTTATGTTTTTCTAAACTTTTGATAATTAATACCATAAGGAAATTGTTACATTGGTTTTAGTCATTTATCTATTACATGATGTGTTTACATAAGTTGTAATTTATGTAGCATCAAGTAAAGGTGGTGTGAGATAGAGTTCTTAATTAGATAATCCATTGTGGAATGTTTTTAATTATACCAGCTTTCACATGTCTTCTTAAAACTATTCTATGCATGCACTTCATAGAGACAATCCAATACATTAACACTAAAATTAAATTTTCTACTCTGTTCAGGTATATCGACATCATGTGTTGTATTTCTTTGTCTATGGTAAATTAGCAACAACTCAAGGCCTGATGAATATGCTCTCTCTTTTAGTTTATTTTTATTTCAATTGAAAGAAATAGGAAATAGAAAGAAAAGGAAATCAATCAAAGTTGGGTAAGTTTGATATGGTTTTTATCTCAAGAGATAGATGGTATTTTGCATAATCAATTGCAAATGTTGAGTAATCGACATTAAATTAAGTATGGTTGAAAGTACATGAAACTAATAGTCATTCTTATCTTGCAAAGCACAAACCAAAAGAGACAAGACAAAACAAAAGTAAGACACAAACCAAAAACTTTTTCTTTGTATTTAGGGGCAAACAGCAAACTTACTCTAACATATTTCCCTAGTAATCAACTTTCGTTTTTCTACATATTTAGGGATCGAATAAATAACCTGTTGCTTCTCTACATTATTAGCAAAAGGTACGTGAAGTAGCCTGTTGGATCTTTATTCGAATGGTGATGTGATTTTGAAAGAGGTAAACATGTTTCAAGTGAATCATGATCAGTTCATGTTAAGCTTAAGCACCCACAGATCAAAGTTTTTTGTTCTTTATTAAGAATAGGAAGTAAGATGGTTAAGTTTATATAAATTTCGATTCTTGTTCAGTGTATTTTACATGGCATGGGTTCTAAAATAAGAAGAGAAGTTGTAACAAAACAAATATGTGCTTGGGAACAAAAGAGAAAGAAGAAGAATTACCTGTACTTGGCAGAGACGAAAACAAAGGCTTGGAGGACATGGTGGTGCAGCGGCTTGGATCAATTTGTTGATTTGTTGTGCAGCGGAGATGAGGATTACCGATGTTTATATATTCGTTTGAAGGGTAATTAGGTAAATGTATAGGAATATCTTCCTTCCTATTTCACCGGATTCTTTCCAAAAAAAATTCAGGATAACACGATCTTCATCAGTTTGTGAACTTCTATGGATTTTACATTAGTTACATTATTTCACGAATGACCCTTTTGGTATAAATTTTTCCCTTTTTTTTCATAGATGGTCCTTATGTGCCGATTTTGTTTCACCACGTCGCACATTGTTCATGAGCTATCTATTTGCGATTTTTCAGAGAAGGTGATTTGAGATATACATCATTCCTAAAATTCAATGATTTGCAAAGGTCGCTCCAATTTGCATCGTCTCCCTTTCTTTAACACCCGTTCGCTGCCTCCCAATTCCCAAAGACCCTAAGGCCTAAACGCCAAAAAGAGATGATAATTGTAGTTATTGATTTGTTTGGGCTTATTAAAGTGATTCTGTTAATGGGCTTCCCTTAGTATACTAGTTTTTGTTTTAAAAACATACTGTATTATAATTATATTAAGACTTTACTTGATTTATATCGTAACCATTTACATGATTTCGTAAGTTATTAAATTTTAATTTTATATATAGGTTATATATAACTTGTTATATGGTTTCCTTTCGAAATTTTGGTTCCGGCCTCTTACTTTTAGTGTTTATGTTCTACCCTGCTACTTGTCCTTTCGGTTTGAATTTTGTTTCACTATTGGTCATTTTGATAACTCTCTTAAAGTTCTTCCCGTTAAATTCATATGAAATTATATCTTTTTCCTTAATTTATCTCAAAATTCAACAAAAAGAAAAAACATAAATGGTGGTTGCGGACGGTGGTGTAGGTGGTTTTGACGGACGATAGTGGCAGCATTAGCGGATCTAATAAGGAACCTGGGGTAGCCTGTGCTACCCTTCAATTTTTTAGATATAGTGGAAATATTTTTAAAAAAAATCGGTGTAATGTAATTTTTTCGGTGTGCTACATTTAAAATTTATGTGTTAACCCTGGTATTGTTTTTGGCTCCACCAGTCGAAGGCAATAGGTGATGATGAATGGTGGTGGCAGCGGAAGGTTGTAATAGTGAATGGTGGTAGCAGAGGTGTTAGTGGTGGATGGTAGTGATCGACGGTGGTGCCAGTTGGTGGTGATAGTCGGTGGTGGCAGTAAACGATGGTGGCAGCGAAAAGTAGTAGAAGTAGATGGTGGTTGAGGACAGTAGTGCCAGATGGCGATGACAATTGGTGGTGGTGGCGGACGGTGGTAACTGACGCTGGTGGCATAGGTGGTGACCGACAGTGGTGACAATAGATGGCGGTGGTGGCGGAAGGTGGTAGCAATAGATGGTGGTAACAGTAAGTGGTGGTGACGGACATTCATAAGTAGGTTTGGCAATTCTCGACACCACCCGCGACACGACACGAAATAAACAGGTTTTGATTGAGTTTTTCAACCCACCAACCTGCTTATTAAACAGGTCATATATGGGTTTGTCAAAAGATTGACCTGCCAACCCTTTTAGATTTCTAATAAAAATAATTATATATTTTTAAATGTATTAAGTATTATTCATAGGAATATAGGCTTAATGTTTGTATCTATGTTTGTATTAATGTGGCTATTACATTGGCATTTGAATTTATCTATGTTTGTATTAATGTTTTAGTTTGAACTTGTTTCCATGAATGTTTTTAATTTTCTTTTGCATCTAGAATTTATTCATGTTTAATAATCTATTTTATTTATAGAATCTGACCCACGAACCCAAATCTGAACCACGAACCCCTAACCTGTGAACCCGTATAAATAAATTGGTTTACGGGTCGTATATGAGTTTATGTTCCAAACCCGTCAACCCGTAACCTGTATATTAAATGTGTCGTATTCAGGTGGGTGTATTTGACCTACCAACACACCAACCCACGACCTGCCAACCCGAACACGACACGATTGTCAGGCCTATTCATAAGGACATGTTGTGTAATGTTGTATGTATGTGTATGTGTATGTGATATATATATATATATATATATATATATATATATATATATATATATATATATATATAGAGAGAGAGAGAAGGAAGAGCGAGAAAGAGAGCCACCAGTTAATAATGAAAATAAAATAACAAAAAAATCGTCTTTTTATGTTAGATATAACAAAAATACTAACGATGTTAGTCATAAGGACCTATTGTGTTACAAAAACTAGGGGTGAGTATGGTACGGTTTGGTGCGGTTTTTACACCAAATCGAAACCGAAAACCGAATTGTTGTTTTTATATCCATGTAACCGATGGGAGCGGTTTTTGTTCCGGTTACTTCTGCGGGTTTTTTTTTTGCGGTTTCGGTTAATAACCGCAATATAGAACTGGTGTGGTTTTATTTGGATGGTGCTTATTTTTATGTCTAACCACAACTTTGAGCTTTTGATCGTTCATTATTTCCTTTATTAAGTTTGACTTTCTTATATGACAACTAGCACTAGATACAACATACAAGATAGGTCATAAGCATCAATTCATATTTTATCAATATATTCCCTTTAATCTTTTTGAAGTTACAACTTGCCAACTTGAACTTGCATCCAAAAGATAATAAAATAGATATAAACACATGATCCAACCATATTTTGAAATTAATAATTCATTTAAATTCATAACCATTAAATCATCAACATCTTGGTTTAAACTTCATACAACATAATATTCATCAAAGTTCAAACTTCATCAAAAAGCATAAACATGTTTTTTAAAAATAAACCACCATTAATCATAATCTCATTGATCCTTGGAAGATTTTTTCTTGTTTTCAATCTACATAAATAAATATAAATATTAGATTATTAGTATATAAATAAATTACAAAAATGGTCCCCACGGTATGGTCGAATTCTCTGTTTTGGTCATTAAGTTTAAAATTTGATAGGATACATCCCTGTAGTTTGTGAAAACTGCACTGTTGGTCCTTGGTCCATATAAAAAGACCGAATTACCCTTTTTTCTTTTTTCTTTTTCTTTTAACAACTTATTATATATATATATATATATATATATATATATATATATATATATATATATATATATATATATATATATATTATTTTTATATCTTTATTCTAATAGAATTAATATAGATTATTTATAATATTATTTTTATTTTTTAAATCAATTATCTAAATTATATAAAATCATATTATTATTATTATTATTATTATTTATTTTTGCTTTATTTATTTATCTTTGTTTTTGTGGTTTAAAAATCTTTTAATATTTTTGAGGTTTTATTTAAATATGTTTTTTAATGTTGTTTGTTTTTGAGGTTTTGTTCGTCCACTGTAATTATTTAATGTTGTTTTTATGTGTTTTTTGTTTACATCATTCACTTATATATAGGGCTGTAAACGAACTGAACGTTCGGTGAACCGTTCGTAAACTGTTCGGCTGAAAGTTCGTTTATGTTTGTTTATTTAATAAATGAATGAATATGAACAAAAATAATCGTTCGTTTAGTTAAAGGAATGAATATTACAATGATCTCATTCATTCATTTATGTTCGTGAACATTCGTTTATATATAGGTTTACCTTGTTTTTTTTCAAAAATAGTTATACGGAAAAATATAATTATTTAGGCAATAAATGTAGAAGCATTGACATATAAACGAATGATGTAAATGAAAAACACATAAATCCGTAAAACTTAAGAAAACTGAATAATAGAGCAAGCACTAACATATAAATTGTAAACGAACCAAACAAACACGAACAAGGGTTTGTGCGTGTTCGTTCGTTTAAGTTAGCCGAACAAACAAACAAACACGAACAGATAAACGAACGAGATTTTCTTGTTCGTTTTCGTTCGTTTAACAAATTATCTTGTTCATGTTCATACGTTTATGTTTGTGAACATACTAAATGAACAAAAATAAACAAACACAATTTGTCACACCCCCGGACCAGACGGCGGAAACGTCCGGAGTCGGGTGACTTCATTGTGTAGTATCATAACAATTGAATATAAATGAAACAGAGCAATCCAAACATCATACATTGAGATAACAAACTTACATTGTTTACATATTGTATTTGTTCTTCGAGTTATACAAAAGAGACATAAGCAGAATATTCCAAACTACAGCTAAATAGTCCTGCATCCGCGTCCCTTGTTGCCTGCTTACTAGATCCCTGAGAATACAAGTCGTTTTGAAAAGCGTCAACTAAAAAGTTGGTGAGTTCATAAGCATTTTTGTATGAAATCGTTTACACTTGTTTAGAATCGTTCTTATTGTACTTTTAGAAAATCCGATATTTGCTATGAAATCGTTTGAAGCCTTGCTTGGAAAATTATAGTTATATGTGATGCATGTCAATACTTTAGTTCATCCTTATAAGGAGTGATCTTTAAAAAGTAGTATAGTTTGTAAAGGCGAGTTGTTTTCAAGAATAGTTCTTTTGAATAGTAATAACCAACCGTTTCAGAAAATCCCCTATTTCCAAAAATAATACAGTTGTAAGTCTTGTTTTTCTTATCGAGTATATGTGAGTGTGCGTTCCAGTTTATCGTTATCGAAATCGTATAAAATCTTTTTCCTCCCGAAAATCCTATATTTTCTGCTATAAAATGTTCGTAAGTTCTGTTTCCAATTGTGTATACTTGCATGTGTGTTTGTGTGTTAGTTTATCGTTTTCAAAATCGTTTACAAACGTTTTCCCCCAGAAAGATCCTATGTTTTCTTATTGGTAAAATAGCAGTATTAAGACTCTAATACTTGTTAGGTGAAAGAAATCAACATGGCGATTATGGACATTCTACGCAATGAGAAAGGACATTCAACACAACAAATGCGGACCATCACTACCATGCGTAGAACAGTCAACACAAAGTGCCAAAATTTATTTATGAGGTTTTCCTTACATAAATTTCTAGTTAATATAACATATTC